CTACTACTACTACTACTACTACTACTACTACTACTACTACTACTACTACTACTGCTGCTCAGTAGTTCGTCCATCATGCACCGATGACGACCCTTGACATCCAAGGAGGAAGAGAAGCCATAGAGCACGTCCGCAACAACGGGTAAAGAGAGTAAAGTAAAAGAAATAATAGCAAGCAACTTGTGATGTGCGCAAATGCCACAATTCGCTAAACATCGCCTTTCCCTTCCCAAAATGGATGTGCTTATTTGCCTAAACATATTGGTTAGCTGGTTGAACCTACTTATGGCTTCGCTAGTGACCTTTAAGTTCTATTCTTTTTCCGGTACTAATATCATGTATTAGTGTAGCAAGTGCCTTAAAACTGTTCGGCAAAACGTTTGTTGAAGAATTTTCCGCAAATAGAGCACTTGTGTTCTGTTGGGCCAGTGTCAATCTCAGGATTTGACTGTCTCGCACTGTCTCGTTTTTCTTGCTCCTCTGGCTGCCTCTGCTTTACGAACTCAAAAGCCTTGCTGTCACACGCCACGGCTTTAGGTCATTGTGGTTGGTCAAGACAGAGGTGTCCGACACATCCACATCAGTGGAGAAAATCTTTCAGAGAGGTCTTCAGGGTGTCATTACCTTTGTTTTTGGTGTGTGTGTATTGGAGGGTGGGGGGGGGGGGACCAATGTTCCGCCTTCTATAATATACCCATTCTGAGAACAAAATAGTTCGCTACCTCAGAAACACAAAGTTCTATCTATCTGTTCAGTACCTAGTTTTGAGACACTTGACGTAAAAATATTGAGTTTCACAACGTTTCAAGCTTTTTCGATTTCAATTCTTTGAATATCTTGATAACGACTCCGAATAATCTTACTTTATTGACAGAGCAGTTAGAACATTTAGTGTCTGACCTCATGGCCTTAGAATCTCAAAACGGCCCAAAATGCCATATAGAACTTTGTAGTTCTAAGTGAGCGCTGCTGTGAGGAGCTGTGTGTTTGGCATACGGACCAAGTCAGTGTCCCGCCGGTCTGAGCAGGATTTTCTTCAGGTGGCATGAGATACTTGGAGCTTTCACCCTCTCAAGAACTTCAATGTCTGGGATCGTATCTCTCTAGTAAATGTCCATTATTTTTCTCAGACAGAAGAGATGAAACCCATTGAGTTTGGCAGCATGTGTTTCGTACACTGTCCAGGACACAGCTCTATATAATAGTGTTGGTAACTCGACACTCCGCTACTTTAGAATTACTACATTCTATCTGATATTTTTGGCCGTTTTGGGTTACTAAGACCAACAGATCAGAAACCAAATGTTCCATCTTCTCTATCAAAACTGAAAGATTACTCGGATCTGTTACAAAGATATTCAAAGAGTTGAATTTGAAAAAGTTTGAGTTGGGAAGCTCAAAATTCTTTACGTCAAATTTCTAAACACTGAGCAATAAATAGAGCTTTGTAATTCTGAGGTATCGACTCGACAACAGCGCAATACACCTGAGTTTTGACACATCCAAACCTATTACCATCGTACCTTTCTCTCGTCACAGGAAACTTTCAGGGATAGGTAATGAACATGGAAATAAAAGAAGGATGGAAGGTAGATGTTGAGACAAATCTCTGCTACACTGAAAGAAACTGCTTCATTGATGATTAAAGATTTACCATATGAGGTTCTTTTGTTGAGCAATTTTTACAATATAGCCAGAAGTTGGGGCATAATTATGCTGCTTGCCACATCCTTTCCCATTTTGTAATCTCTAAACCTTTGAAAACAGCAGCTCATGAACGAACCACGCAGATTTTTGTGGTGCCTTTTTTACAGCAAGAAATCATTCGTTGATTCGAATATCAATCCAATTAGAATGATGTTCCACACGATAACTACTTGAAAACTAGGTTGAAAATGGCCATAGCGACAAAAGAAGAAGAAAAAAAGGTAATAAATAGCATGTATAGCGCATGTCCCCGCTCAATGGCAAGCTCTCTGCGCTTTACAATTTGTAACACTATTATCCCATCAGACCCCAGAACACTCAGAATTATTTTCAGCTTCCGCGGGAAGCATACAGTGCAAGTAGCCAATTAAGCACTCAAACTCTAGACATTGTAAGAGTTGCTTCCGATTCGTGTAAAAACACATGCTATTGTTGCTGCCAAAATACCCACTGGGGCACAAAACGTGCGCAGTTGTGACGTCACACCCCACGTGACAACCTCATACAATTATGGATGAAAGTGAAAGGGTATATCTATTTGTGTGCTATTTGATTTGAATTGAAAGAGAAGCCCATCGACCCAATAACGGTCGGTCATTTAGTGCAGGGAAAAAGTAAGACAGACGTACAGAAACAATAGAGTGAAAGAAAAGAAGTAGGACCTTCCAATGACACCCTCCAAAGAGAAAAATAAAAGATGTAAGGCCTTTCTAGAGAAGACTTTCATCAACCACCTGCAAGGTGTCTTTGATGTTACATCATACGAGACAATATCATACAAGGTCGTTTTTATGTTGATATTTTTACGTCCCCATCAAAGTAATTTGAACCTTATAGGTGCCTGGCTTACGACCCCGCCTGTCAGGGCCAACCCAGGCTGAAGGTAAACAAAAATCTAGCAGAAAGACGGAGATAGTCAGTTTTAAAAAAATGCTCCCCGCCCAGGAATCGAAATTGGGTCTCCTGAGAGCGTCAGCGAAGTGCTTAACTGCTACACCACAGTAAAGGTGTCCTGCCGTCCTGCTGCCATGGAGCGTCTGGGCGCTCTGGTCATGTGGTGCGGCTTTATCAGGAATGACGTAACATCCGCTCTTTGTAACCATACCATACCATGCCATACCATACCACACCGTGCCATACCATACCATACCATACCATACCATACCATACCATACCATACCATACCATACCATACCATACCATACCATACCATACCATACCATACCAGTTTAAGTTCTCTATGTAAGTTATACATGGTTTTCTTTTGACTTCGTTTGCCGTCAGAGAAAAAGCTAGATCTTTTAAAGCCATTATTACAAAGCGTCCCTGCTTACTAAAAGAACATCAAATGACTTAGGCATTGAAGAAGCCCACGTGAGTCACTCCCTGACTAAAACAATCAATTAGAAAAAGAAAGACACAGTTTCTGGGACACTTAAATTGGCATAACAGTCTTTTTAGTGAAATCGAAGGCAAACGAGACAGTGGTAGACCCAGAGCAACTTACTTGAAGAGCCTAAACAGATGGGTGACGGCGAAAGATCAGGATAATATAACTTTATATTATTTGCGGGACGAGGGGTGGGGGTGCCACCAATGTTCTGACTTCTGTAATATAAAAGAGCACCCGAACAAAGGAAGGAATGATGAACCATAACCGCCCAAGTCTGCCACAGATCCGGTTCTTGATGAGAAAGATCGGATTACTATTACCCTGGTTTATTTGGCCATGGCTATAAAATAGATCGTCCATCAGTGTCTGGCGATGACAAATGCTTCCGCAGAGGAGAATATTTATCAAGCAAAATAGAGGAATTACACAAAAATAAGACTTGTGGCTTCTGCAATAGCCAATGAGACCAATTCTGGTAGAGAAACCTTTTGCTACATTTTGAACATTTAAAATCCCCACTTTCAGTTGTGGATATGCACAACTTACGGGGTTCTCTCTTGGTTTCAGCATTTATTATTATTCATAAAACGTCATTTGGTTTGCTGCCCACAGTAAGTGCTGGTCTCGAACTGGGTCCACCAGGAGCTTGGCTCTACCATGTCGAACGATTTATTATTAAAGTACTCCAGAGAAACTTTCAAAGTGTCTTTGTAGCGCTTTTTTAAAGTGCGCCAACTTAACGTTTCCCTGAGGACAATTCAGAATAGAATGCTACCTTTGGGATTCTGAAATCAGGAATTCTGACGACATGGCGTGCCGCAGGCGAGAGGAAGGGTGTCCAGCCGGACCGTCGCAACAAAAATCTGGCACAGCCGACGCAGCCTGTGTTTTGTGCGTCTGCTGCCCGCAGGACATAAAAATTCTCTTTTATAAACGTATTAAAAACTACTTCTTTTCGTAAACAGGATATCCAATCTGGAACCAGCGTTTCAAAAATATCGATATGGCTCGCAAGTGACTCTTTTTTCTGATTGGATTTTGGACATAAAAAAGAAGTTTAAAAAAAGAAAGAAAGATTGCATTATGCAGTATTTTTTCACAAAGACAACTGTCAGTTTAAAATGAACATGTAATACACCTTAAGGCATCAGTAGGTGCCTCTACGTGGTTTTAGTTTAACGAAGAGTTTTACGGCTCTTGCAGCACAAATAGGTCTTATGAAATTAT